CCTTCTCTTTTCCTTTTCTCGACCCCGCCTTCGGTCCTTTGGTTGATCTCTTCCTCTGTTCTCATGAACTTGTCCGYRAGYTTGAGGAATTCGGCCACGGTYGCGGGCTGGCTGGCTACCATGTGCCATTTGAACTCCTTGTGTGTTACTCCTCTCTTGGCCATCGCGAGCTGTACCGCGGGGTCCAGTCGTGGTACCTGCAAACACGCGTCATTGAACCGCTTGATGTAGCCCCGGATGGACTCTCCTTCCCTCTGAACCACTCCGAAGATGCTTTCCTCGGTTCTGGGGCACCGCTTGCTGGTAACGAAGTGTGCGGTGAAGACCTGTACGAACTGGATCCAGCTTCTTATTGACCCGGGGGCCAGGTTCCTGTACCAAGTGCGGGCCACCCCCCTGAAAGTGGTGGTGAAGGCCACATACATGCACGACTCACTGGCCCTTGCCAGGTGCATTTGGGATTGGAAGGCATCGACGTAGTCGTTGGGGTCGAAGGACCCATCATACTTGTCCAAAGGGGGGAGCTTGAAGTCTCTGGGCATGGGGACTGCGAGGAGTTCTGACGAGAGGGGGGAAGGAACTGAGAGAATAGGGGCAGCTTTTACCTCGTCCGAGCTTGTCTCTTCTTTACCTCTGAGCTCGGGCAGGACACGGGTGGCAGTTCGGCGACTTCGCCGGCGCCTTCGTTGCTGAGTGGGCCTGGTACTGGCGCTGCTGGCCTCTGTGTTGCCGAGCTCGATGGGCCCGGAATGTTGGTAGTCCGCTGCTAGGGCGCTGAATCGGTTCTTTGTGAGCGGGAACTTAGGCTTGGAGCGCCGAGGTGCTGACTTTGCGGGCGAGGTTCCCGACCCACCTGCGAGCTGCGAGGCAGGGGTGATTTTTCTTTCCCTTCGGTCCGGGGATGAGGCCTGGCTGTTAGGGGGGTTCTGAAGTTGGGAGGCTTCTCCTCGGTGATGGCGTCCACCCTGAGGGGAAGCCTTAACCGGCTTTGGAGCAGGGTGCTGAGGTGGAAGTAGTGATTGGTTCAGGGGCAGTTGGGGGAACTGCTGCTGGTAGTGGTACTGGGAGATGTGGTGCAGTACTTGGTGTTGCTGGAGCTGATGTTGCTGGAATTGTTGCATTTGGGCTTGCATTGCCCGCATGCATTGCATTAGGTCGTCAAAGTGGTTCTGGCTGGTCGCCAGGGGGACAACAGTTGGTTCAGTAAAGGTTGTTTCGATGGGGAGTGGAAAGGGGACATTCATGGCGGGAAGATTTACGGGCGCCACTGTTCGCGGCGCGTTCAGGCTGGGGATCCCATCCACCGGAAGGGGGATGGTGAACTGCCCGATGCACACTATGGGGACTTGAAGTTGTTCCTCGGTGGTGTTCATCTCCGTCCCACGTCCGACGTTGCTGGAAGAAGCCATGAGTGTTGGGGTTTTCTGGAAAAAGGTGGTTATGAGAGTTTTAGAGGGAGGCTTTTAGAAGCGTTTCCCACAGACGGCGCCAATTGATGGTGCGCAATCCGGCCGGTCCTAGCTGTCAATGACCTTGCCTTTGACTGGAGCTATAGGGAGCCTGAAACGGAGAAGATGAGGAATCTCCGGGGGGAACCCGGTGAGATTGCTCCGAAGCTCAAGTTAGTATTCTCTCAAAGGCAAGATAAAACCAGATGGCGCAA